GACCTGAGCCGAAGGCAGACGCTTAACGACTGAGCCACCCAGGCGCCCTCTTTTTAAAGATTTTATTTATTTGAGAGAGAGAGAGAGAGAAACAGCATGAGAGGGGAGAGGGTCAGAGGGAGAAGCAGGCCTCCCGCTGAGCAGGGAGCCCGATGTGGGGCGTGATCCCAGGACCCTGGGATCACGACCTGAGCCGAAGGCAGACGCTTAACGACTGAGCCACCCAGGCGCCCCATGTCAATCTACTTCTTCCCGACTTTTTGCAGTGGTTCCTGACTGCCCCTACTCAGCCCATCCATTGAGCTGGGGAGAGAGCGCGGGGCCACCGTGCTGGGCTAACCCTTCTCTGCCCCAGCAACCCCTCCCTCGCCGTGGGGCTTGCTAGGTCTAAGCCCATGCTGCTGCTGGGCGGGCCTTCACAGCCTGGGGGGGATCAGGGTCTCCTGGGAGCCCTGATGCAGGTCAAGGCTGCCCAGAGAGGACCTGAGGCTCCAGCGTCCAAGGGCACTGGCCGGACCCTCTGGGGACCCTTGTCTTTTCAGTAGCTCTGTGGCTGCCACCTCTACTTCCTCTGGTGCCATCTGGCAGGCATCTGCCAGGGCCTGGCCGGTCACCAGGACAAAGTCAGCATCAGCCGCCAAGGTGTCCAGGCCCCCTCGAACCAGAGCCTGCAGGGAGGACAGAGGCTGGGTGGGCTCTCCTGCGGAGCTGCCTCAGGGGTCTGCCTCTACCTGCCCGCCCAGGCCAGCCCAGGGCCAGCCCTGAATGCCGCCCACAGCTCTGTCCCCACCCCCACCTCACCTCTTGAATCAGCTGGGCTGTCGCTGGAGTCTGGCACCGAGGACTGCTCTCCTTGGTCCTACGGCTGTGGGTTGCTTCCTCAGGCAGAGACCCTGGGGTGGGGCTCCTCCTCTCCTCAGGCAGGGGAGACTCGGCCCTGGCACGCTGTTCCAAATGCACAAAAGTGAAGACCCCAACAGGGATGCTGGAGCCCACTGGGATCCAGTGAAACTCCAGCTCTTCAGAGGGAGCCTCTGCCAAGACCCACAGAGAGGGGAGGACCCAGGAGTCCGGCCCTTTCTGTTATTAATGGGCAAATTACGGTGGCCCCCTTCCTCTGTATAGAGTTTCTTCCCAGGCTTCTGCCCCATTACCTGGCAGGGGGCAGGAAATGCCTGGGATCTGGGCATTTCTCTCTGGGTCAGCTGTCCTTTTAGCTTTTCCACACAGGATTTGCTGTGGGGTCCTGTGGGCAATACAGAGCAAGGGCAAGAGGGGCTGCTGAGTCCCGCCAGGACCCCTGCGAGCTGAGAGCCTCAGGGCTGTGGAAGGCATCCTAGAGGGGGTACACATGCTAACACCCAACCAAGTCCAGGCCGGGCAGGACCCTGTGCTGTCCCCTGGCCCCTCTACTTGCCCTGGTCTCTGTCCTTGTGGGTCGGGCAGCGGGGTTGGCGGGGGAGGGATCAGGGCCAGAGTTTGACCAGATCTGGTCAAGCTCTTCTTCAGTGTGTCCATGTGTGCTTGCGTGCAGAAGCGTGCGTGCGTGTATTGTGTGTGTGTTGTGTGTGTTATGTGCACGCGCATACTCTGGGGAGGGGGGCAAGTGTCCTCGAACTCGGGCATCCTCAGGACTCCTGCTGTCACACACAGCGGTCTAGGACCTGCTGGGAGATGGCCAGACCATCTGCTGAAGGACCCCAGGGCCAAGGGGTCAGTGCGGCCAGGGGCTGTCCTTCGGAGGGGAGGTGCGCAGCAGGTGGGAGTTTCCTGGCACGCCCCTTTCCCACCTCACTCAGTTACCTAGATGGCTCCCTTCTCCTCTGCCTGGATGAGGAGCTGGCCCTGACAACTCTTCCATCCCAGGCCCAGCTGACTCCCATTGTGACAGGCTCCCAAGCCAGATTCCCCAAGGGTAAGGGGAGAGCCAGGCTCCCCAGGCCGCTCTGGGAGGCTCAGCTTCTAGGGCGCACAGAGAAGACTGACCCAGGACCCTTCGGGGTTGGCCAGAGGCTCCTCCTCTGGCAGCAGGTGTCTCTGTCTCTCCAGGGAACTCCCTTTCGTAGTGGATGCTGAAACGGAAGCAAGGCTGGTGAGCCAGAGCAGGCTGCTGGTCCTCCCGCCATCCTGCCCCTCTGTGGCCCCTCAGGGTCTGGCCCCATCATTGGTGTCGTCTTGACTCCAGGGCTGGTGCTCAGCCCGCTCTCTGCCCAGCCAGTCCTGGCCCTCTAAGAGAAAGAAGCCAAATTCGTCCCCTCCTCCTCTCCTTTGCCCAATTGATGTCCTTCCCTCACCCTGTCCACATTCTGTTCATCTTCCGAGGCCCAGCCCCAGCCTCACACCCTCTAGGACACTGGTTCTCAACCTTGGCAGCACACTGGGTCACCTGGGGGGCTTTAAAAACTAGTAGTGGCCGTGTCCCATCCCCAGAATCTGCGGTGAAGCTCCAGGCACTGCAATTTTGGAAGCTCTCTAGATGCTTCTAATGCTCAGCGGAGGCTGAGAAACATTGCTTAGCTCCGTTCTAGGCCTTTCCAGCCCTTGGCGATCAGGACGCCTGCAGTCTCAGGGCACCTGCTCTTTGTGATTATTTGGTCACAGTCACGTCACAGGATACATGTCGCAAGATGACTACAGTCCTTTCAGGGCAGGGCCCAGGTCTGGCGCTTCTGTGTCCCCACCATGGTGACCCAGGGCACAGGGACCCTTCTGGGCCTGCGGGTCTCTGAAAGGAAGGGGGTTTAGGCAGCCCTGGCCCCGGGGGAGTAGCTGCTCATGGGGCATCTGCTCTGTCCTGCCCATTTCTGATGGTGTGTGACAGCCATTCCAGGTCCTCCTATCTAGAACGGAAGCTCTGCTGGGACCTCAGCCCACAGGTGCTGATTTCCGAGAAGCTCTCCCCCCATCCTGCTGTTTTTCATGATACTTATGTAACCGCAGATTATATTTAGTCTACAGCTCAGCATGGGAGAGAGAGGACCCACTCAGCAGTGAGATCTCCCTGGAACCCAAATCCAACAGTTAAACTTTAATTTCCCACAGTTTTTTGTAGTAACTCTTCTTGTAGTAACTCTCTCTTCCTAACCTACTACGTTCAATGGGTCCCAGCTCCTAGACCTGCTGCAGAGAAAGAGAGGAACCACAGAGCATTTGTGCCAATGCTGCCCTCTGCTGGCCAAAGGGGTCTCTGCAGTCCAGGCCCGCGTCTTGCATTAAGGTGGAGGATGGATCCCAAAGGACACAAAGGCAAGCAAAAGGCAATGTATACATTTCAGAATGTCCCCCTCCCAAGAGCCTGGAACCCACTAACCATGTCTTCCCAGCCCTACCCCAGGGCCCCTACATCCAAAGCTGGCAGTTGCTGCCACTCCCTGGAAAACACCTGCCTGTTGCTATGGTTGCTGTTGCCATAGGCGATGTTGGCGTTGGCATTGTTGGTATTGGCATGAGCAAGAGGGTTGGTGCTTGGATCTTGAGGGAAATCCTCCAAGAAGACAGGCGATTCCAGCTCTTCCATCTCTATCTCAGCAAACTGGAGGGGTCTCTGGTTGGCCATGACAGGGGGCAGGGAGTTGGTCCTTTCCAGGAAGTTGTCCACCTGGCCAAAGAGGCCTCCAGTCCTCTAGGGGCAAGGAGGAGAGAGTAAGGGCTGAGAGCAGTGACGGGGGGATGGGAACTGAGAGTGCCTGGGGACTGCCATCCTGGCATGACGTACTGGGAACAAGTGATATATTAGAAGACAAATCCTGTAAGGCCAGAGGAGAATGGACTGGGCTATAAGGTCAGAGAAGAGATCACGATCTCCCTCTTCAGAGAGTTCTCAATTGAATAGGGTAGACAGGACGCAACTAAGGAACTACATCGGAGACACAGACATCCAGATAGAGAAATACGTTGTCATGGAAAGAGCACCGGATCGGGAGTCTGGAGAACTGGTTCTAGTCCCACGTCTAAAACTAACTTGCTAAGTGATATCGGATATCTCCTATCATCTCTTTGGGTCACCGTTTCCTCAGGGAAAACCCAAAGGCATTCACCACTAGGTGGTCATTAAGGACCCTTTAGTTTTACAGTGTCATAAAAAACACTAGACAGAGCTAGTTAACTGGAAGCTAGACAGGACCAGTTAACTGGAAGCAGGCGGGGCATTTGGTATTGAAGGGATTCCAGGAGATGAATGTCAACTAGGGCTTTGGGGGAGATGAGGACAGGAGTGAGGCTTGGTAGAGGAAGGGAAGAGAGTATGTGTCATATTTGACAACTCCAGCAGCTTGGGTCCAGTAGGATTCTGAGTCCCAAGAGATGTGGGCTATGGGTGTCTTCAGTTTCCAAATTCCCCTCCTGTATGGCTGGGCTCCTGGCCCTTGTATCTATGGGATGTTGCTGCTCCCCGTGCCTAGAACACACGAGGTGGTCACAGTCTTCACTTACCCGGAATATCCCTTCCTCCATCGCAGCCTCCACCATGGCTCTCTCCAGCTCCTCTTCCGCTGTCAGGTCTCCTGAGATGGTGCGGCGGATCTCTGGGGCTGCCTCTTCCTCAATGGTCCGCAGTCCGGCCTGGGGACAGAAAGCGCAGTGACCCCTCCAGTCTAGTGGGGGAGACCAGACTGCTTCCCATGGCCTCACTCATTTCTAGCCCCAGCTCCAGCCCCACTCTCTCCTGGACATTCAATGACCCAGGGCTCCATGAGGCCCTGCTCTGACCTCTGGGATGGTCCAAACCCTAATGGCTCCCAAGGAATCTTCTCTCAACCTCATGGGTGATCTCACACCCTCCCAGGCCTCCAGGTGGAAAAATCTTTTTACTCAGTACAGTCTTCTAGACAAATGATCTCTTTTGATTGAACATGTCATTCATATAATTTTTTGAGTTGGTCAAAGCAATGGGACGACCGCATCATTTCTGTGGCATTCCTGTCCAAGATGTGTACCCTAAATCTATCATGAAGAAACAGCACATGAACTCAAACTGAAGGATATCCTGGCAATCTTCAAAAGTGTCAAGGTCATGTCAAGGAAAGACTGGGGAACTGTTCTGGATGGAAGAGTCAAAAGAGATATAGAAACTAACTATGTGTGATTCTGGATTGGATCCTTTTACTATAAAGGACATTATTAGGACAACTGGTGAAATTGACATGAAGCCTGAGGATCTGATGGTAGTAAAGTCTCAATGTTTTTTGTTTTTGTTTTTGTTTTTAAAGATTTTATTTATTCATTTGACAGAGAGAGAGAGAGCACAAGTATGCAGAGTGGCAGGCAGAGGTAGAGGGAGAAGCAGGCTCTCCGCTGAGCAGGGAGCCGGACGTGGGGCTCGATCCCAGGACCCCAGGATCATGACCTGAGCCAAAGGCAGCCACTTAACCGACTAAGCCACCCAGGCACCCCTAGAAGTCTCAATGTTAATTTCCTGATTCTGGTGGTTGCATTGTGATTATGTAGGAGCATTATGGAGGAGAATGCCCTTGTTGCCTATGAAAATGTTCTGGGTTGATGGAACATTATGTTGGGAATTACTCTTAAATGGTTCAGAAAAAAAGGTGTTTGTATTATACATGCAACTTTTAAAATTGTGAGATTGTTTTAAAGTAAAAATTGCAATTGAAATAAGTTTTTGAGCACATAGCTCAAATGCATGTATATTTTTGAATTTGTAAATTGTGTGCATTATGATTAACACCAAAAAATAGAAATAAAAAACAGATGAGATGAAACAAAGTTTTAAATTTCTTTGTGTACCAGTGGATCATTTTAATCACTCAAATCTCTCTTTTGAACAAATCCCATTTCTTTTGGTCCTATCATCCAGAGATGGAGGAGCTCCTGGCTCTTCTCCTCACTCACCCTGGCTCCCTCCTTCCCTCTGTGCCTCCATCACTGGCCTTCAAAGCCATGAAGAGGGAGCTGGAGCTTGGAGACCTGGCTCAGTGGAGTCCCTTGGAGTTCAGGTTGAGCTTACCTGGATCTGTATAGTGTCCTTCTTGGGCCGATACCCATAATACTCTTCCTGGCGCTTCATGAACTTCCGGAAGTGCTCCTGGATGAGAAACGTGGCGTAGAACTTCCCTACAGTCACCTCATCATCTGCAGAGGAGCCAACAAGGGATGTCCTGAAGGTGGGTAAAAATCTGAACTGGGTTCATAGTGGGAGCCAGGGGTAGCCAGGACCGGGCCATTCAGGACATTCCTCTCCTTGCTGACTTGGACAGTGGGCAGTTTCCATCCTAAGTCTAGTGCCTGCCCTGATGGCCACCATGGGGTCTATCCAAGGTATTTACAAAGGGTCTGGGCTATTCTCAGATTCTCATAGGGCTTCCTGGAGCAGTTCCTTGTCCCTTCTCCTCAGCTGCTTCTGGACTCTGGTCTCCCAAAGCAGCACCCACCTCCTATTGGAGGAATGACCTGGTCCAGGAGCTTCATGCTGGTTCTCTTCCAGATCTTCTTGATGATGGCCCTCAGCTCCTCATTGGCCTGCTCAAAGTTACCTGGGGGCAAGGGACAGGCAGAGGCGGTCTAAAGTCACCCAGCCCAAGTCAATGGCACTTGACAAAGCCACCTAGGATTCTCTGAACACCTCACTCAACAAATGTTGGCTGAGGTTTTGTTTGTTTGTTTGTTTTGTTGGTTGGTTTTGGCAGCTGCTGTGCTGAGCACTGACCATGGGGGGAGGGCATCACCATCCCCCTGGGGTAGCCCAACCCTTGGGTCATGTATTCACGTCCCACAAGCCTTGACATGTTCAGAGTGGCTGGTTTTGAAGGCTGTCTGTCATCTCCTGCTCTTCTCCCTTTCCCCTCAAAAGCCTTCAAATCCCCATGCCCTATGGTCTTCCCAAGGACCCCCAGGCAGCCTTCCTGCGGCCCTAACTTGGTTTCTCCAATTCTTGACTCTTGGCCTTCCTCTCCTTGCCTTCCCAAGGAAACCTTCCCTGGGGCTGTCTCAGATGCTGACAGAGGTCCTGATGGCCTTCGGGGATGGCTCTGGTAGAGCTGAGCCCTAAGTGAGGGCTCAGGAACAATACCAAGACCCCCACCCTGACTCCTTTCCCTGCTCCCACCACGTCTGCCTTCCTGGAAGGGGGGGACCTGCGGGGTTAGTGGAACTGTGTGTGGACTGCCTGCCCAGTGCAACCTGAGGAGCTTCTCTGCTCCCGCCCAGAGCCAGACCTCAGGTGGCCCTCCTCTCTGTGCTAACGCTGCCATTTCTCTGGCCCCATTCAGACATAGCTGTGTGGGAACAGATCCTTAGTGACCTTTGCCCTGTAGAGAATTTTCCAGCTCTCTCGAAGCCCTGAAAGGCATGAGAATGTTGTGGTCATGGTCTGGGGTCCTCCTTCTACTTTTCCCCATGGCTATTGGTTCCAACCTTTAGCTCTGAGAATCTGGTAGAATCTGTACCAGAAAACTCATCCTCTGAGAGAAGGGAGGGGGCTGCACACCAGAAAACCCTCACCTTCCGTCTTGATCTTGAGTGCCGTGCGGACCAGAGCGAAGAGTGTGGCATTGAAGGTGACCGTGCCATCGCTGTTCAAGGGCATGTTCATACCCACCAGCCGCTGTGAGGGGAGGGGCAGGGGCTGGCTGCTGAGTTGGGATGAGGCCAGGCTTGGCAGGCCATCCCAGCCTGGTCTGTGGACCGGGAGGGGATGGGACAGGAAGCCTGGGGGTGTGGGTGATTCAGGACACCCTTCACGAGAGAATGGAAAGATGAGTTGGGGGACACTGTTGAGACTTGAGGTCCTCAGGGAGGGACTTGGGGACCCAAGAGATGACTGCTCTAAAATGACTCATCCAATCAGGCCCTCCCTCACCAGCTTCCCTGTCCCAAGGTACCTGAGCCTCTCCTTTCCCAAAAGCCACCCCTCCCTGGCAGCACTGGTTACCTTACATGCCACCCGGTGGGGGCAGAACTTCCCGAAGCCCAGAGGGGGCTGGATCCGTCTCAGCAGAGTCACCACATCCAAGTGTTTGATTCTGCCTCTGCAGGAGGACACATAGACTTGTATCCCTGCAACCCCACCCAGAACCACCCTCCCTGCTCAGAGAACAGGCCAAGGAGAAGAGAGCCAGGCCACGGGGGAACACTTCTATTTTCCAAGGAGGTAAAAGCTGAGCTCACTCTTTAAAGAAGAAACAATGTTTGGGTTCACTATTGCCCACCACCAGGAATGGGCTGTTCTTTTTTGGGCAAATGTCCTTTTGAGAGCAGAATTCCCTCAGATGTGGGATCTCCAGGTCTAGAATTTGGACTTCATTTTCCCCATGGCAGAGCCTTCCTTGGGTTCTGTTTGAGCTGACTGGGGGGCTCTTGGGTTATATTAACAGAAGTAGAGGGTGTGGATCATTGGAGGTAGAAGCTCACTTCCAGGACTGGTAGAGAGCTGGAGAGCTGCATCATAGATTGTTGTAAGGATTAAATGAGATAATGTATGCAGTGGCTAGCACAGTGCCTGATGCCTCGGCAACATTCATCAAATATGAGCTTGTTACCTTTTTAGAAAGAATGTAAAGCAGTAGTGCTTCTCAAGGTTTAACATGCATACAAATGCCCTGAGGATGAGGCTAATAAACAATGCAGTTTCTGATTCAGTCAGTCTGGGGTGGGGCGGGGGGCTCTGCATTTTAATCAAGCTAGCACGCTGTTGGTCAGTGGACTACAACTCTGACTAGCCAGGGCCTGCTGAGGTGCTGAGTTCCCTGCTCCTGGATGTGTCCAAGCAAAAGCTGGATGATCATTTCCCAGTGAAGTCAAGGGGTTTTCTGCCCTGGGAGGCTGTGGGATCCCTCCAACCCTAAGAAACTCCAATTTTCTGATCTGGAACCTCAGATAATGGAGGGAGAAGAAGCCCACTCATTCTTATGAAACTGGAGAGTGACTACATATAGGACACCAGGATGGGGTCTAGGATGGAAGGGGGGACAGTTGAGGGACGGCCCCACACAAAGCCTACAGACTGGACTCACTTCGCCTCTGGGTCATACTCTGCCCAAATGGCCTTGAACTCATCCAGGTGATGAGGGCCCAGGATGGACCAGTCCCGTGTGAGGTAGTCAAAGTTGTCCATGATGACAGCAACAAAGAGGTTGATGATCTATAAGAGGAGAACCGAGGGCTCCCAGCATGGAAAAGCGGGTGATAATGGGGATAGGGATGGGGGCTGGGAGGTGTCCACTGGGTAAGGGGGCCAGAGCTCCTTCCTCCCTGGGCCCTTCCTTGCAGCCCTTCTGAATGACCTACACCCCCCACACAAGTAACCTGTCACACCTTTCACTCCTGCACGGGCAGTATCCTCTGACGGGGATCTTAGGGCTCATCCCTGAAAACCCAGCTCAAGCTCTTCCAATCTCAGCCTCTTGCCCCCAGCCCAGAGAGGTGATCCCCCTCAGTGTCCTCACGGGACCATGCCCCATCACTGCTCTTGCCTTGTCTGTGTATAGCTGGTGTCCCTTTGAACAGCAAGATTTGCTTACACATGGATTCCCCAGGTACCCAGTGAGCTCCTTCAGGGCCAGACTGGGTGTTGGCATGTTTCTGCCCTCTGCACTGAGCCCAGGGGCACACAGATGCTCACATAACAGTTTTGACCGAATATAGGAAAGAAGAAAGAGTGAAGGAGCGACAGTCCCATGGACACCGCTGGCTCTTTGCCTTCCACATGTGACAGACAGCAACCCCGGGGTCTGGGAACAATCTGCGCTCTGCTTCTAACCCCATTAGGGACCTCCTCTGGGACCCTGTTTCCAGAGCCTCATCCCCCTCACGGTGGGGCAACTTTCTCTTCGGAGGAATAGGAAGGGGCAAGTGGCTTTATTGGGAGCCCCTATCTATTTAGGACAGAGCCCCATTAGATTCTTCTGATTACTAATTGCGAATCAAAAAAGGTAAAACTTTTTAGCAACCCCTCCGGAGCATGATAAAGCTCTCAGAAAATCAAGTCACGCCCAGGATATGCGGAACAAGGGGCCGTCTAACCAGAGTCTCCTGGGTCCTGGGTCCCCAAGGCCAACCCCTGAGGGACAGAAGCTGACTGGCGGGGCAGGCCCCTCTCCTGGCGCCTCACCAGGAAAGCACAGAGCATGTAGAAGCTGATGAAGTAGTAGTAGGCGAAGTTGGTGCCGCACGTGGACTCCTCACCCGGGGCGTAATCTGACTCAGGGTCACACAACTTGCCGTAGCTGCAGGCCAGCAGGATCTCCTGCCATGCCTCTCCTGTCGCACACCTGAAAGAGACAGGATCCTACTGGTGAGGCAAGGTCGCAGGCCACGGAGGCCCCACCGCTCCTGTGAAGGGACCTTTGGCCCCGTCTCCTGCTTCGGCGGGATGACAGCCGGGTGGGCTAGGCCATACTCCACTCAGGACCAGCTACGTCATTTCTGGGGCCCAGTGCAAAATGAAGATGTGGGGCCACTTGTCCAAAATGGATTTAAAAAATGGCATTGGTTGTGCAGTGGGGAGCTTAGTTGACTTCTAAAAGCGATTAAACATTTCAAGACGGGGACAGCAGAGCCTCAGCGGGTCAGGGTGCAGGGCGCTCTGTAGCTACACGGGCCCCGGGGCCAGGAAGCCGGGGCCTTGCCTCTGGGGCAGGGTAGAGCAAAGCAAAGGCCAAGGGCAGGGGGTGGGGATGGGGTGGGGGCAGCAGGAGCCTCGCACCTGAAAAGCAGCAGCACAGCTTGTGGAAAGGTCTGGAAGTTGTTGTTGCGGTTTATTTGGGTCCCGTCCACCATGGCGATCTTACCAAACATCTGCAAATCACAAAAGGCTCCCACCTTGGGACCTAGATCACAGCCTCCCCTCAGTCCAGGCCCCACTATCCTCTCCCACCTCACCTACTCCCCTCTTTCACCCCTACCTCCTCCAAGTCCCCTTCACCGCAGGCCACAGCAGACCGGGAGTCAAATTAATCGGATTATTTTCAAGGTTGGGTGAAGTTCTTCCCATCAAGCCAAGGGGAAGCAGGAGGGCAGACGGCTTTTCCCAGCTCAAGCCAACTTAGGGACTCCATGTGGGGAACGGGGGGAGACGGCTCGCCAGAGGGTAGACTGAGGCCACCTGAGGCCCTTGTCATGTGGCCCCTGCTGTCCACCCGCATGCCAAGGCTCCTCCTGGGTGGCTCCCAGCCCACCAGTCCTGCGGCCGCTGGGGATAAGGTGCCCAGCGTCCTTCCTCAGTCCTGTGTCTGACACCTTGGTGGCCAGGATGGAAGAGGCAGGGAGGGTGGAGGGTCCAGCCTCCATGATGATTAGGCCTCTCTTGAGGGCCCCCAGAAGCCACCTGTCACGTGGCCAAGATCCCTCCTTTGACCTGGGCCCCCCTGTCTCTCACCTGCATGCCGATGACCGCGTAGATGAAGAAGAGCATGACGATGAGCAGAGCCACATAGGGCAGGGCCTGGCGGCGAGGAGGGAGGGTCAGTGCGCAGGGCTCGGCACACCTGCTTGGCAGCCGGTCCCCTCCCTGAGCTCACTGTGCATCCCGTGGTCACCCCGGGGCTCTACCCTAGGCTAACCGGACATCCCCGACAGCCTCTCTGGGTCCTCCGTGCCGACCTGGCCTGGACCCTGGTCAGGAGGGCTGGGCAGGCACACCTGGAAGGACTTGATGAAGGTCCACAGTAGAGTGCGCACTCCCTCCGCCCGGCTCAGCAGCTTGATCAGCCTCATGACCCGGAACAGGCGAAAGAAGGCGCTGGAGATGCGGGCACTCTCGTCTGGGTCCTGCGGGCCAGCAGCCCCAGAGGTCAGTCTGGAGGTGGCACCTCAGAGGGGTAAGGAGCAGGCGGGGTGGGAGGGACAATGTGTGTGTGCCGGGGAGATGTCCATGGCAGAGAGGAGCTCCAGCCCCACCTCATGGCCCCTGCTGGGCACTAAGTGCCCGATCCTCCTCAGGCTCAGGGCTCTGGGTTTGTTGGGCCAAAAGGAGGGACGTGGGCCAAGCAGTACGCTAAGCCCGTTCTCAGGACAGGCAGCAGGAACTGGGCCCCGGGCCCAGTGAGGCTGCAGCCAGGCCCAATGCCTGTCCTTCTGGGGCCTCCTGCCTCATCTCACCTCGTCCTCAAGCTGCCACTGAGCAGAGGACACTTTCAGTGCAGTTTCCCTAGAGCGTGGGTGCTCTGTCCCCGTCAATTCAACACGGCCACTCCACCACCCCACCCAGCACATGGCTGTCCTAAGCCAGGCAAGCCTAGCCTCAGACACTGGGATAACTCTGGAAGGGGAGAGCCCTGCCAGGCTTCCTGTGTCCCCAGAGACCTTGCGCCAGCGAACTGTCACTAAGGTCCTGCACCAGCTAGCAGTCACAGTCCTCTCTGGATGCTCCCATCTGGACAGAGGGTGCCAGAGTGACCCCTCACCCCGTCTCCCAGGGCTCTGAGAAAGCCACTGCATCCATGCACGTTCTGCCGCAGGGCCCCCGCCCCCACCCGAACCCGAACCCTCCAGGGCGCCTGCTCTAGGGAAGGAAGCCCTCGGGCCGGATCCACCCCATGCAAAGCCATGGCCAGGCCTGAGCATGCAAGCTGCAGGGCGGAGAGCTGGCGGGCGTGCGGGGCAGGCTCATGCAGCCCGGAATTACAACGTTCCCGCAGCCTCCACCCAGGCAATACAGTCCTCCGCTGGAGGCCAGGAAAGTCTGTGGAGAGAAGAGACCAGGGGAGGGGCAGGGGAGGAGAGAGAGGAGGAGGGACACGGGGGGAGGGGGCAGGTGAGGAGAGGCGTCAGAAAGGACACACAGAAGAGTTAAAGAGAGAAAAAGAGCGGCAGGGGATGAAGACCCCAGGTGGCTGCCAATCAGGGGCAGGGGTGGGTGGGTGTGAGGACCAAGCTGTGGGGACAGTGAGGCAACAGGCTGGGGACAAGGGAGCAAGAAGGGGAGGGAAGAACAGACGGGGACAGGTCCCGTCCTGTCTCTGGGACGTGCCTACAGCTGACAAGGGGCCCAGGTTCTTCCTGTGTGTCTGGGTTATGAGATGCTGGGGACACATCCCTGAGGGGACACATTATGGTGCCGGCCCATCACTCTGAGTGGGCTCACACCCCTGTATCTCCCTGGGTCCAAGGAGGCTGCCAGCTCCCTTGTGGAAGGGCCGCCCAGGCCCTTATGGAAGTCCCATCCTGCAGGGGCAAAGGCCCTCCGCGGGAGTCTGAGCCGCCCGCTGTAGACGTCTCTCTGCCCCTGGCCCGCGAGCACGACCAAGGCTTGCATCGCAGTGGCAAGGTTCTTAAGAACAGGAGCTGCACGTGTGCGAGCAGCAGTTTTTCCTATTTACTCAGCTTCTCTCTTAGGCCACCTTTCAGGAGAAACCCTTGTCCTGGAGTCACGGGACAGGGGAAGTCATTGTTTTATCTTGCCATTATTTGTGGGTGAACCGGTTCCCAGTACACCAGTTTCCCCACCAAGCAACATTCTCTTTCCCCTGGGGCCACTGGTTCTCAAGCCTGCTGGCATATTGGAATCCCACGAAGAACCTCAATAGATGCCTTTGCTGGGTTCCCCACCCAAGGCAATTTAGTCAGCTTCTAGGGGATGGGCCTGGCTTCAGACATTTCAATGCATCCCAGGGCATTTTAATATGCAGCCAAGGATGACCACCAGTGTTCTAGACCTGCGCTGCCCGTATGGTGGCTTCCAGTCACATGTGGCTCTCTGAGTTACAGTGAAAATTTAATCAAACGAGAAATTCATTTGTTAATTTGCACTCGCCACATTTCAAGTGACCAAAAGACACGAGTGCCCAGCGGCTACTGTACTGGATGGAGCAGAAGATTTCTATCATTGCCGAAAGTTCTAACAGACAGTGTTGCCCTAGTCTGCTCCCTGGTTTGTATGTCAGGAATAGAAATCAAGATCTAAATTTAAAGCCATAACATGACTTCAAGGAAACATTACTGGTATCTCTGCTCCTAAAAATCAAATAATGACCTACACCCTCTGGGTCCTCCATCCCCAAAGAATTGTTTTGATCTATCCAGGTTTCCTCTACACGGACCCCAAACCTCAAGAAGTAATTACCTTTAATTTGGGCTGTTTATTTTGGCTCTTTAGAGTTCTCCTCACTTTGCTTTCAAACCCTGGGGCCTTTGGGATGCTATTCCCTCCCCAGTGGAAACTGAACATAGATGGAAATATACAACACCCACACACCCACGCACACACACGTGCACACTGGTTTTGCCCAGGACCCACCCTGCCCTTCATCTGCCCCATCCTCTCGGGATCTGAGCAGACAGAGTTCTGTCACTGTCTTTCTGTACATGGGGCTGAACAGGATTCCCAGGCCAAGCCCTCCCCCAGACGGTCTGCGAGGCAGCCAAGTCCCCAGAAGGGGCTGTTGCTGCCAGGGCTGAGCCTAAAGGAATCGCAGGCCGAAAGCTTCTTCCTCACGGGCTCCAGACTTTTCCTGAGCTGTCCACCCCCCACCCTGACCCCTCTCAGGTGCCTCTAATGCCAATCCTCTTCACCTCCCTACCCACCATAGGGTTCACCCCTGGGCTGGCAGAGTCTGAAGTGCTTATCATCGGGCCAGCAGGAAGTTCAGAAGGAAGCCCTCTACATGGGGGAGGCTCTGGCTTTGGGGCTAGTCCCCAGCCACCCCTGAACAGAAGCCCACCATGGCCATGGTTAGGGAGCCTCAGAAGGCTGAGTGCTCTTCTCCACGCCCTTCCCGGGATACAGCTCATCAGGCACTCTGCCCAGAGGGCAGCCGTCTTTTGATTTCAGCCTCTGATTCTTGGATCTCTTCTTCCCTGCCCCCTGCTCCCCTCTTTCACCCTGCAGTGACCCCGCCCCCCACCCGAGCTTCAAATCTGCAGGGAGGCCAGCCTGGAGAGTCCGGCTTCGAAGATCTCAAACACAGACCTCTCTGGCTGAAACCTCCTGCCTGCCCCAGCGCTGTTTCTCACTCCACCCCCGGGGGCCTCATCCCCTCCACCCCACTTCTCTTGGTCCAGCTCCTGGGGCCATATGCCTCCCCGCTCAGCCTGGACCCTTGTCCTGCCATTTCGACAACGCCCTTGCTTGCACTAAGATGCTCCATGCAACGTGCCGCCCTCAAGACCACACCTGGTGCCTGGTCCCTTTCCCCAAGCTCCCAGGCCACCGAGCATGACTCCAGGGTGAAACTGAGCTCACTAGGCCCACCCCAGCCCCATCATTCTTCCTGCAGATGGATTCATCACATCGGCTAGTCCTCAAGAGTCAGTTCCCACCCTCATGCCCACTGTCCTGTCCTCCCTTCCAGTGGAAGATTCTGCCTGCTGCCTCGGACACTCCCGTGGCTGCCCAGGGTGAACACCCTCTTCCCTCCTCCCCACCCCCCTGCTCCCTTGCACCCTTCACACTTCTTATGACCTCTGCTCACGCTCTTCCTCTTCCAGTGGTCTGACTTGTGTCCTTTGCTGTCACCCCTGAAAATAATCCCTTCCTCAACAATCTGTTCTCACATTGTGGATTTCTCCTCTGCACGGGCTCCGCCTATAGTCTCCCTTTCCCTGAATTAATCAACACCCCGCCACTTTGCAGCAACTATCTCTACTGAACTCCTTGCAAAAGCTGTTTCCTGTGCGCTTGGCCATTTTTTCTCACTTTCTGGTCACTGACTGCTCCATCCTTATCATTGGCTTTGACGCCACAGTCTACCCTGCTCAATGGATGGCTTTGTCATCGAAGACCAAGTGGCTTTGCTGGCTTGAACTCTGCGGGAATCTCAACTCCGCAGCTGGCTGGTCCCACCCAAGGCTTCGACCATCACTTCTGTGCATCAGACACCAGCCCCTGTGGTTGGAGCTGCTCCCCTGATGGATGCAGAGCGACACTCGGCCCCTCTCCTGCATTTCCAACCACTCGCTACCCATTTCCACTTGTGTATCCAGCACCCAAACCCACAGCACTGGAACAGAATCATGGTGAGTGCTCCCTCCAAGTCTTTCTTTTTGGGAGGTACTGAGTCACCCTGACTCCTTCCTTCCTGTGGCTCCAGGTCACCAAATCCTCTTGCCTCTGAAATTTTCTGTTCCTCGCCTGCCATCTGAGCCCCAACTCTCATTGCTTCATGCCCATTTGTTTTGCATCCCCTCTTGCTACCATGGATGAACTGTGGCTTTCTTAAATCCAGCTTCTCCCCTGGGACACTGGGTCTTAAACACTTTCATTTATTCAAAGGCTTTGCTCCTATAGTTACGTCCTCACAACCAGATATTTGCAGAGCCTGAGGATATGCTGTCATTTCTCCCATTTTCTTTTCTTTTTAAAAGATTTTATTTATTTATTTGACAGAGAGAGAGTGAGCGAGAGAGGGAACACAAGCAGGGGGAGTAGGAGAGGGAGAATCAGGCTTCCCCGCGGTGCAGGGAGCCCGATGTGGGGCTCGATCCCAGGACCCTGAGATCATGACCTGAGCCAAAGGCAGACGCTTATCGACTGAGCCACCCAGGCGCCCCTATTTCTCCCATTTTCAAGGAAACCCTCCTTGGCTCCACA